TATCATTATTACCTTCATCATTCATCATCATCATTATCATTAATATCATTATTACCATGAGTGTTACCCATTGTTCCTTCCCGACTCATAGAACAGTCCTTCAAAATCTACGCTGATCTTCATTAATTTATTTCTTACGTTTTATCAATAATTTATTTTTACTGTTTTATTTTTCTTCCTCATAAACCCAACGTTCTTTCCCATCTCAAAACTGCTCCTTCTTTCACGATCAAATTTCCTCATGTTTACTTACACTTATTACAACTTATACCCATTAACATAAATCATCACTAATTTTCTTATTTTCTTTATTTTTACATTTTATTACAACTTATACCCATTAACATAAATCATCACTAATTTTCTTATTTTCTTTATTTTTACATTTTATTACAACTTATACCCACCAACTTATATCACTAATTCTTTTCCTCATGTTTACACCTTATCACAACTTATACCCATTAACTAATATCATCACTAATTTCCCTTATACCCATTAACTTATATGATCCCTAATTTTCTTTTTTTCCTCATGTTTACACCTTATCACAACTTATACCCATTAAATATATCATCACTAATTTCCCTTATACCCATTAACTTATATCATCACTAATTTTCTTCTTTTCCTCATGTTTACACCTTATTACACATTATACCATTAACTTATATCATTTACCGATTTTTCTTCTTTTTCTCATGTTTCACCTTATTAGACTTATCACCAATTTCCATCTTTTCCTCATGTTTACACTTTATCACACCTTATACCCATTAGCTTATAACATCACTAATTTTGTTCTTTCCTCCACATCAGCCCCCTTGTTCATCTTCCAATGGGTGTTCGATGAGGCGCAGATGACAGCCGATAACGTTGGAAAACCGATATCGAAGGAACAGTGGGATTACATACACAGCATCGGCGAGAGACTGAGGAAAACGTTCGAGAATGTGACGTGAGTTTTTCCGTGTCGAAACGTTTTCTGGTGTTTGTTGGGTTTGTTTACTTTGGTGCCGATGAGGATTTTTTTTTTTTTTTTTTTTGGGGGGGGGTTGTTTACTTTGGTGTTGATGAGTTTTTGTTTATTTTTGTTCGATTGTTTTGTTTGGTGGAAAAGGTCGTTCGTTGAGTGGTAATTTTTAGCGTAGTTTTTTTGTTTGTTTGTTTTTTGCGATGGCTCAGTATAAAGCAACAGAAAGTAAACCCAATTTATTTACCACTTTTTATGGTTTTCCACCGAATTTTTGATAAATCATTAATCACTGTTAAGAATGTCTAACTTGGAAGCTCATGGATGTAGAGTAAAATTTATTTTTAAGGAACTACTGATTCAAAACTTTAGTTCTTAATGTCATTATATATAAATACTGGATCTAGACTGAAAATGTTTAGTCAAGTCATCTTCGAAATTTCTGTTATCAAATTACTAACACTGATCCTTAAATTTGAAACCTAATTGACTCCTAAATCCACTGTCTACAAATATTTACATCTATTTGAGATAAGTTCCTTGTAAGCGCACTGTCGTAGTTCTGACGCAGCGCCGCTCTCTCCCCGCAGAGCCCTGTTCGCGCCCTCCTGCATCTCCCACACCGTCCTCACCAAGCGCGACTGGTCCAGCGTCAAGATCGGAGAGGTGTCGCTCCCCCAGGCCCTCTACTGCTGGGACATCACTCCTGCCGCCGCCCTCCACGCCAAGTCCTCCTCGGGGCGTCCCCACGTCAGAGTCCAGCTGGAGGAGCACCACCACGACCCGACGCACCACTTCGGCCACGACCGCCACGACCGCCACCACGACCCTCCGCCCGGCGAGAGGGAGAGGGACGGCAGGAGGAAGAGCATCCGCAGGAGGAACAACAGCGAGCGGGACAGGGAGGACGGCAGGAGGCGCAGGGGGAGGGGGAAGAAGTCCCGGAGGAAAACCCAGGAGGAGAGCGGCCAAGACGAGGACGACCTGCCGAACGCGAGAGCCGGCGAGGACAGGGACGGCGGCGGCTCGAGCAAGAAGTCCCACAGGAAGACGGGCCGCAGACAGTCCCAGGGGGCGGGGCGGCCGGACGTCCTCAACAGGGAGATGCTGGCGGACTCCCCCAGGGACAGTCCCAAGGGCCCGGACCAGCACGCAGCGCCGCCTTACCTGGTGGAGTCCAACGCCATCGACACGACGCAGGAAAGCACGAAACTCAAGCAGCAGCAAGAAGAGGCCGAGAAGAGGGAAGACGGCAAGAAGGAACTCACCAGGAAGGAAAGGAGGAGGAGGAGACGGAAGAAGAAAAACCGAAACAAGGGCAAGAAGAAGAGAAAAAGGAATAAAAAGAGGGGGAAGAAGAGGCGCAGGAGACAGAGAAATAAGGACAAATCAGGGAAGAAGAAGAGAAAGCCCAAAGGTACAATATGACGCATTTTCTAAACATTTAGAGCGATTCTGAAATCCTTGAAATAAAATGTAACAACATAATGATAAAAAAAACAATGCTGGTGATGAATCCTGGAAAAATATAATGTATATTCTTTCAAACTGTCAGGAAACAAAACACTATCAGTCCTCCCATGACAAAGCTTAACCAACACACACATACAGACATACATAAACAAGAGCAGGAGCAGGATTAATGTAAACAATAATGATAACAAACAAAAAAATAGATAATTTTCTCTTTAAAAGATGGCAAAACACTACCCACCCGCCCGCCACGTAACCAAAAGTGTTAAGACTCTCGATGTTTTTCCAGTTTCATCTGAAGCAGAGACGGTGCTAGGAGACGCGGTTAGACATGCTCGTTCCATTGCTCTCCTCCATTCCAAACAAACCTCACTCCACCACTCTCCACCTTCCTCCACCACAGAATCTCCAACACCATCCTCCCACCACCACACGATGTCACCGCTCTCCCTAACGATAGACAATCCGTCTTCATCTTCCTCTTCTTCATCACCATCATCCTCACCCTCTTCATCCTCGTCGTCCACCACCTCCTCTGACTCACCGCCATCCCCCGCGACTCACACAGCTCCGAGTCGCGAGTCGGGAGAGGACTTGCACGAGGGGGTGTGTCCCGCTGACACGTTGCACTTGACCGACCGCTGCGCCTGGCCCCAGTGCAACTACGCGTGCCCGATCCTCCTCAACCCGTTCACAGGTGAGGGCCACTGCGGGGGCTTTCGGGTCTCTCGTTTCTTTCGTTTCTGGTCTGTATTTTCTTTCTTTCTCTCTTTCTAACTTTCTCTCTTTCTCTCTTTCTCTCTTTCTCTCTTTCTCTCTCTTCTCTTCTCTCTCTCTCTCTCTCTCTCTCTCTCTTCTCTCTCTCTCTTCTCTCTCTCTCTCTCTCTTCTCTTTCTTTCTTTCTTTCTCTCTCTCTCTCTCTCTCTCTCTCTCTCTCTCTCTCTCTCTCTCTCTTCTCTCTCTTCTCTCTCTTCTCTCTCTCTCTCTCTCTCTCTGTATTATTACCTGAAAAGTGTAGTATAAATATTCACTTGTTATAGATACCCAAGAAAACTATAATTATTTTACCAATTTTGATAATATTAACGAACCTATAATGACACTTAACTTAAATAATTTTATGTGGTCTCTTTTCCAGGCGAAGAAATGAACTTCATTGAACTTCTCAAGAGCTTCGGCCTGGACATGGCCAGTGTCGCTAACGCTCTGGGAATCGACATCCACACTTTGAACTCGATGGCCAATGATGAACTTCTGCACATTCTGACACAGTGATTTCTTTCTTAAAGGGAGAGAGACGTACACATACCACTTTGTACCTTCGTTGTGTGTGTATTTATTATCATATAGTGAACTGATTGAGGAAGACATACACATGGTCCATGCGAGTGTGTGTGTGTGTGTACTTTCCCTCCTTATAACGGACAGGTTGATGTTTTGAGAAGATCGTAAGTAATGTGCTGGATCGTCTTCTATAAGTAACGTACAACGGAGTTATACTAGTCCTGTAGAAAAAGAGAGAAATGATGATGAATAAGACGGCAAAGAGAGAAAAAGAGAGAAATGATGATGAATTAGATGGCAAAGAGAGAAAAAGAGAAATGGTGATGAATAAGACGACAAAGAGAGAAAAAGAGAGAGGAAATGGGAAGAAGAAACGTCCTTCAAAAGATGTATTTTTTAATCTCATTGGTTGACATTGTCCTCTCCTGCTGTAGTTGGAAATATTTAAGGGTTTACAAGCATGAAAAGGGTATATTTTGTATGCCTAATTGTCGTAAAAAACACTTGAAGAGAATGTAGCCATGGTAGAGAAAGCAGCTTGTGAAAGTTTACTCGTGACTGAAGCATTTTTTCTGTTCCAAAGTGTGTTGAATTAAGTATTACGTGTAGTTTACGATGCATTTAGATGAGAGTTATTTTTAGGCCTAATCCACTGGTGCATTTTATATAAAGATCATACAATTCTGTTTTGTCCCCTTGTGCCAAGGACAGTTATTACATAAGTGTTTTTCTTCTTCTAAGTTAACGAATGAGCTTTATATTTATATATATATAACTGTAGAGATTTTCTTTTTTTTTAAGTTGTGATATGCCTAACGCTTTTGCACATCGTACATTCACCATCACTCACACCCGATAGCATAGCTTGTACATACCCATCGAGACACAGACTGGAATGTGTATGGACGAAAGGGTTAAGGCATATCATCAGACAACCATAGCGAAGTACAAGTAGTGTGATGGAGCTTCTGTTCTTCACGAATTTCATTTAAAAATCAAAACTTCGACAACAGGGAACAAGGGAGGGGGAATAGGAGGGAGGAGGATGTGGGAATAAGGAAACAAATTGATAATGTATGTCTTTGTCTTTTTTTGTTGTTGTTGGTAGGGGGAGGGAGGGTATACAAAGACTCAATTTCATGGAGGTTTTTGTGTCAGGGAGTTTGTGTTACCTCCTTGTTAGTGTCATAGTGACAGCAGTGGATTGACAGAGCAGTGGAGTGGATGTCTCGTGACTTCTGATGTGGCAGTGTCTAAGATCATTTACCAAATAACATATTACAGTGGACTTTATTTAGATCATCCTAGATCCGCTAGGCATAGAAACATTGAAGAATTAAGTGCTTTATAGATGGTCAATCTGTATTAGTACATGTATTAGATACACCATTTGGTATAATCTGTTGAGTGTTCGATGGTATTTGGGTATCATCTATTAGTACCATCAGTTATTTGGTATAACGAATTAGGAATAGTTACAGTTTCAAAAAAATGTTCTGTGTCTTTTATAATTTTGTTGTAATGACTCTGCTAAGTTGAAAAACACAAGCATTCCATTGCCGTCTCTACATTAGGGGAATGAGGATTGTTTATTGTGGTATATATTTTATGATTGTGTAAATACTAGTAAATATTGTACATTTTATCTAGTAGTAGAAAGTAGAATATGCAGAGTATGTGTTAGATCATTTTTTTTCCTGATGTACATAAGTGTTTGGTTTGTAAAATCCAAAATGTACATGGTTATCTACATAATATATCCTCAAGGACATACCTCAATATTTAAATGAAAATTACACTGTTTGTGAATGTGCCACTTGGCTGACTTAAACTTGAGACAGAACACTGATGGAGGTAATAGTGAAATACACTAAATGTGTGTATTTTCCTTTTTTACCTTCGTGTGTTTAAGTGTTACACTCTCAGTCTTAGAGTACTTACTGATTTGGAAAACTCAGGTAGCTATTCAGAAATCATAATTTAACTCAAGGGTAATCTTTTCTTTGTTGTCATGTTGTTATCAGGGAAAATAGCTATAGAGTTACCTCACTGGATTTGCTGATCAGGTGTGTGTGTAAAGAGAATTGTGCACAGAAGAGTTCAAACCTCTTGTGTATCTCAAGCATTTCAGTGAAGATTAAGGATTTATAGAATACAATATAGACTTTCAAAAACGGAAATCGTATGTGTATGTATACTCTGCAACATTACCTCATATGTTAACTCTTGTTTTTTTAGGGAGTAAATAAAGGATTTTTTTCAGTATGTAGCTGATGTTTACATTATATTATTATATTTTTTTCCATAAGTTACTATGCATATTAATGTGTTGCGTTCAGATGCGCTTGAAGTTACGTGGAACTTCTAAGATTTTGTTGTATTTTGATATAGAAATGTTCTTTGATATTTAGATGTATTTCTGAGGTACAGATTTTTCGTTTTCTTTTACTGGGAAAGTAATATGAGAACTATATATATATATATAATATTACATAAACAAATGCTTATCTGCTTAGATTTTACTTCCAAAAATAATCTGCTATTATTCTGATGGTCACATTTCTGAAAATCTGTGTCTGTAGAGGTTGTATGAGGTGTCGAATATTCACACATTTTGGTCACGTGTATGACTTTTGAATCACTTTCAAAGTACTTAGGAGTGTCATTCCAAAACTGGTTAAATGCTCAGTGTTTGTTTTAGAAAATAGATATGGTATGATTTTTTAAACATGGATCATTTCATAGTTTTATATCATTTTATAGTATTTTTTATGTTTTTGTATAAGGTTACTTATGTGTTTCAGTGAATATGATTTGTAATATGAGTGTTTTTTCATCATTTTTTGTACTAGAATAAAGTTAAAACTAGTTTTGTATTTTTTTGTATTTTTCTGCGTTGTTGAGATTGCAATTGTGAAATATATATTTTTATATAGGATTATTGCTGATAAAATTATATTCATACTTTTTTCCAGTGAATCTTTATGATAGGTATTATGTTTTCTAATTAGTGATCTTTCGAAAATCAAAGATGTTTTTTTTTTTTTGGTGAATAGATTTTTTTTTCAAAATATTACTTACAGAGTTTCGTTTGTAGTGTATGTGTAGACATTTTTTTTCTTATTTTTTTACCAAATCTACCTCAGTTTTATGTGAATATAGAGTGTGTAAATGTAGGCGTGGCACAAATAAATCTTTTTTTCTTTAATGCATTTTTTTATTTATCCAATCAAGGACATTCTGATGATAATTTAGATATGTCATTCGACTGAAAATGTGAATGAAATAATTGATTTTGTGATTTTATGTTTTTTATCCTTAAAACCAGGCCTTATATTTATTTTTCTTCAATTAACAATAAATCATTGTTATCAATATTACAGTCATTATTATCATTATTATATGCATTATTTCATTGCTGTTATCATAATCATTGTCATTATTTTCATTATTACCAATATTCTCACCATTTCATTACTATTATATTCTTTCAAACAGTATTGTTATTATCATTTAGATGTTATCGTTATTTACCATTATTATTATTGATATTATTATTATCATTGTTATCATTATCCTCATTATTTTTTTATCATTATTTTCATTACTATCACTAGTGCTACTATTATTATCATTATTGTTACTATTATCATTATCATTATCATCATTATCAATATTATCATTATTATTATCAATATCATCATTATCATCATTGTTATCATACCTATTATCATTATCATTACTCCCATGCCAGCACCGCAATTCTCTTTTTCAACATTTACTAACACTATTTTTTTTTCACATGCACCGTTCCCACTTTGCAACATGTTATCCACACTCTGATATAACACTGTGCCTTCTCATCACCCACATCTGACACCATGTTCATTATGTGGTCCGTATTTGGTACCATTCTCGTTGACAGACATATTTGACACCATCCTCTCCTGTAGACGGGCATATTTGACACCATCCTCTCCTTACCCACTCCTGTCAGAAAAATCCCTGGTCCACTGGTGTATTTTTCCTTCACCGTTCATCCCTTTACCCTGAGAGTAGATCCTTCCACCTGACGTAGGAAATGATCTCCATTGGACGAGGTATGCCACACAGCCAACGGCCCCGATCCCGCACCATGACCGGCAGGAAGTCATTTAGGACCACCTCGTCGTATGCTGTATCGTCCTGGAGGTCGCTGAAGAAGACTGCACTGAAGCACATCCTTACATTACCCCGGCGGTGCAGTGCTTGTTGAACTGGGCCTCCAGCTGAACCAATCGGTAGGAGGCCAGTCCCTCCATCTCGATAAACAGATCCCGGACTTTGAAACAAACGGAAAACGAGGCAGAATTCTTGGTTCTTTACACAAACATGCGAGTCGGGAAACCGGTCCGGGAAACTCGGGATTCTGAACATATCCAGCTGTATCCCTGGCAAATGGAGGGCCATAATTTTTATTGTTTTATACTCAAAACAGTAATAACACCAATAGTTTTCACAACAATAGAAATATTCTCAGAAGTAATTGAAAAAAAAAAAAAACAAGTGTGAGAATGCCCCGGGGACATACCAACAGTGTCCACGTGACCCGTCGGCCGGACCTCCAACTGCATGGCATTGTAGAACAGGTATAAATTCTCTTTAGGGGATGTTGTTACCCTTCCATGACAATGGTGTGAAGAATATTTAATTGGGTATTAGCTGGCATGAGGTCATTTGACGATTTCCCTGCTATAGCCTCTCTTAGTCCTGCCATAACCAACCCTTAACCCCTTTGATCTCAGGTACCATTTCCCTATAATTTCCCTGGATGAGACCGTAAAAAGTACCTGTTCTGTCTCCCCCACAGCCTTACCCAGTGTCTCCAAGCTACTTCCGAAATCTTTAAAGAATCCTCCATTTCTTTTGGGCGGACTGCTCGCCCGTCACCCGTTACACCTCTCCCCACTTGCAACCTCACAAGCCTCCCCTGTACACCCGACCCTGAGATAATGCTGATGTGTCGTCTACTAGGTCCACAGTTCAGCGGTCGTTGGTTAAAAACAAGAGGCGATGTACACTCTGTAGCACTTTGGGGGTGAGAAAGGGGTAAGAATATGGGTGAAGAAACACAGACAAACGCTAAAACGGTGAAACAAATGAGATAACCCTCTCAAATATAAAATATGTAACAAAATCATGAAATATATATATGCGTAGATTATAAAATCAATATTATAATACATGCATTATATGTCACAACTGCGACAGATCAAACACCAGCGAGATTAAACAATCTTTGCCAGAAAAGCAATGGAGGTTATATCAAACAATAAAATGCACAATACTGATATACATCCCAAACCCTTAAAAAACAGTAGCAAAGCCAAGCAGGCACAAACAACCGGAAAATCAACGCTGCCGCCACTGTCGTAATTAAGAAATATAAGTATAATTTAGCTATACGAGCCTAACTAAAATTCTCTTATTCCATGTTACCCTGTCTGAATAGAGCCTGAATTAAAGATAACACTGCCACCACTCTTTGAAGGAGAAGAAATTCTTAGTAACCATTCACTTAATAATAAAAGGAATGATAAAAACCCACTTAGATAAATTATTCTAATTTACTAACAAATATCCAAAGCAAATATATGCAGTCAAGTAAAATATATACAATGGGATATTACACCTGCTCGCCGAGACACTAGTCGGTTCGCAAAGACACGAGAATCACTAATTATGCACAAACCCGTAACAAAAGATAAACTTTAAGTCCGTCTCCCTCGTTCTTACCCCCCTCCCCCCTCCGCGGCAGGCTGGTCCCGCAATTTCACTAGCGTTCGTTGTTTTCCCATTTTCGATTTCGTTTTCAGTACGACATTACTCTCCTTCCTAAAGTTATAGTCCCGGGCTAATGAGATCCGTATCCTAGCCACATAATGTCAACGTCATAGAAAAAGCTATGAAATTGCCTGAAACCAAGCAGTGTTTTCATTTTAACCTCTTTTATTTCACAAAATATTCAAAATAGCTCATTTTTTATGTAGTTCCCCCTTTACCCATTTTCTACATGCTAAAAATCG